TCACTCTTCGCAGATGACATGATACTCTATATGGAAAACCCTAAAGATTCCACCAAAAAACTGCTAGAACTGATTCATGAATTCAGCAAAGTTGCAGGATATAAAATCAATGCACAGAAATCGGTTGCATTCCTATACACCAACAATGAAGTGACAGAGAAATCAAGGAATCGATCCCATTTACAGTTGCACCAAAAACCATAAAATACCTAGGAATAAATCTAACCAAAGAGGTGAAAAATTTATACACTGAAAACTATAGAAAGCTTAGGAAAGAAATTGAAGAAGACACAAAAATGTGGAAAAAGATTCCATGCTCCTGGATAGAAGAACAAATATTGTTAAAATGTTGATACTACCCAAAGCAATCTATATATTCAATGCAATTCCTATCAAAGTAACACCAGTATTCTTCACAGAGCTAGAACAAATAATCCTAAATTTGTATGGAACCAGAAAAGACCCTGAATAGCCAAAGCGATGTTGAAAAAGAAAACCAAAGCAGGAGGTATCACAATCCCAGACTTCAATTCCCAGATTACAAAGCTATAATCATCAAGACAGTATGGTACTGGCACAAGAACAGACACTCAGATCAATGGAACAGAATAGAGAACCCAGAAATGGGCCCACAAACGTATGGCCAACTAATCTTGGACAAAGCAGGAAAGAATATCCAATGGAATAGTCACTTCAGCAAGTGGTGTTGGGAAAACTGGACAGTGACATGCAGAAGAATGAACCTGGACCACTTTCTTACACCATACACAAAAATAAACTCAAAATGGATGAAAGACCTCAATGTAAGACAGGAAGCCATCAAAATCCTAGAGGAGAAAGCAAGCAAAAACCTAAGGCACTAAGGAATCTACTCCTGAAATCATTGTTGCATATATGCTAACTAATTTGGACATAAATTTTAAAAAATTAAAAAATAAAATTAAAAAATAAATAAAAACAAAAGAGAATCACCTGGGTAGGCTCAGTTGGTTAAGCGTCTGACCCTTGATTTCGACCCCAGGTCATGATCTCACGATTCATGAGATCAAGCCCTGCGTTGCACAGAGCCTGCTTGGGATTCTGTCTCTTCCTGTCTCTCTTCCCCTCCCCTGCTTGTGTGCTCTCTCTCTCTCTCTCCCTCTCTCTCAAAATAAATAAATAAGCTTTAAAGAAAAAAAAAAGACTTAAAAGACCAAGCACCAAGTGTGACTTTCTTTATATCCCAACTCAAACCAACTTAGGAAATGACATCATGAAATAATTGAAAATCTTCTGACTGAATATTTGATATGAAGACATCAGTGTTAGCTTTTAAGATATGAGATGGTTATGTTACAAAATAGTTACCTTGTGGAGATATAGAAAATATTCATAGATAAAATTATATGTCTGTGATTTGTGTCAAAATACTCATGGAGAAGTGGACGAGAAGTAGATAAGGCAGGTTTGGCTCCAGGTTAAAGTTTGAGGGCTAGGTGAAGGGTACCTAGAAGTACATCATACTATTTTGTTTTCTTGTGTATGTGTGTGTGCGTGCTCAAAATTTTCTATAATAAGTACTGATATATTCCATCTGATTGTCAAACCCCACGGACATAACTCATATCAGATACCAAGACTCTCATATTGATGAAAAAATCTACTGTATGGTTGTAGGGCCTGTCTTCAGAGTTAAAGTCCTTTTTATTGTTAAATATCAACAAGTGAAATAATTTCATTATTTCTATTGCTAACATTAAAACTTGTGTGTAAATTGTATAAAACTATGTACTTTGCTTAGTAAAAAAAAATGGAATGCTTTCTAATTGTTTCTTCTATTAATCATGCCCAAATATTCCAAGTATAGTAAATATATGTTTTAAAAAGATCAAGTAGCATTTATAATAAAGGAGGCATTGCTATTCCTGGCATTAATGTAATGGTGATATGAAAAACTGTCATCTGTCTTGTCATTTAATAATAAAATGATTGGCATTATGGAATATTTATGAGCCCCCACTCCCAAATTTATTTTCTGAATGAGACCCGTACTTTATTCACATACTAGGAATAAGCCAGTACAAAATACATTTTTAAAATATTCACTTGTTGCTAAAATTCTTGCTGCCCCACCCCCACCCCAATGCCACCGATCTGTAGTGTTCTCCCCCCAGCCCCTGGGTTGACCTGGGTTTTCTGGACCTCCTGCAAGAGTTCAAGCAGGGGTCATCAGCCCCAAGGGCAAAGGTAAGGTCTGCTGTTGGCATTACAGTCCAGGTTCTCAGTCACCTCCACCATCAGGTGAGCCTGCTGTGCCCCTGAGCCAGGGGACCTGAAGCCCAGGGCGGTGAAGTGTGTGTGCAGGCAGTGGTAGGAAGGCGGGAGTACAGGTACACTGGGAGGTAGTCTCCCTTTCCCTGGTAGTGCTGCAGAATCGCTTCCTGCCCCTCCCGGAGGATGTTCCTGCACAGTGGCAATGCTCCGGAGCGAGCGCCCAGTATGATTTGATGCCCGCCCCCCTCGTGATGGCAGATGGTGATCACATGTAGGTCAATGAGCTGCTGCTGAGGTCCAGAAGGAGGACAAAGTCATCACAGGAATCTGGCTTCGCAAAATCAGCATTTACTCCCGTATTTCGTGACATCTGACATTACTGACATTACTGAACCCTCACTGCTATTTAAAAAACTCTCTCCCTCTGTGCAGTCCCAACTTTCTGGTCATTCTCTCCCAATCTCATTTATAGGCTCCATGTCCTTCAACTCATCCTCAGTCACTGGTGTGGGATAGGAAGAGAGCGTCCTCTCCTGTGCGATTATGAGGAAGGCAGCATAAACTAAAAGGAGACCCCACTGCATGGTGGGATCAAGCCCAAAGTCATCTGCTTTTCCACCCCATCCGTCCAGAACAGTTGTGCAAATCTACCAAAGAAATAAAACATTATCGGTTTAGAAGACACTTCATGAAAAGACCGTTTGACTTTATCTGATTTTATTTTTCACAGAACACCACAATAACAACCAGCTTTCAACTTCAGATGAATCTAGATATGGTTATATCCATTTGGACGAACCGGACTGAAGGACTCCAAGAGAGACCCCAAGAGCTTTTTGGATGAAGTCCATATATTGCACGAACTTGAAATCTTTGCCACCAGAGGAACTCTGAAGTTTGTCTTCTTTAAAGTTCTTGGAATAGTCCAGCGAATGGTTTGAGGCATAATCTCCAGCGAATCTGCTGGTATACAGGCATAAAAAAATGGCTGGTTTTGTTTGCTTTCAGAATGGAAGTAGACATCCTCTTGATGAGGCTTTGATGGTAACTTAGGTTTGCTTGCATAATGATTCAATCTTTCTGACTCATAATTACATACTTTTTTCTTTCTTGTGCATTTCTCTTTATTCTGTGTATAACTGTAATCACACTCCCAATGAAGGTTGTTCTTTCGAAATAAATCCAACTTTGCCTTCTTTCTTTCTTTGCTTTCAAGATGACTGTAAGGTTTGCCTTGGCTTTTTGCAAGATGTAATTTGATATTTGATTCCGTTAAGGGAGCTAAAGAGTAGGTGGTTCTGTGCCCTGCAGACCATGAAGACTTCCCTTCACTGAATGGAACAGAAGATGAGCTAGATGGAACGTCTACAGTATTTAATGAACCATAGCACAACCAGTCAGGAAATGGCGTTGTGTCAGATGACCCGTATTTCCTGCTTTTGTGGGATTTATAAGAAGGTGTCACAATTGAGGAATGTTTTCTACAGCCTCTGACACCATGATGGGAACCTGAATATTCCCTGTAAAATGGTTTCAAATTAGTTTTGCTTTTTCTCATCTTGTAGAGATTTTCCAAAGGAATGCCTTTCTGTAATTCAAACAGAATGTTTTGGGATTCCTGACTTAAATATGGGTTTGCTTCTAAGAACATACATTCTTTGCTCCCATATACTTCAAGAGCTGAGCATGCCTCCAAGTTGGCTAGACTCTCAATATTTGTCTGACTCTCAGCAGAATCTTCAGAAATCGGAATTGAATGGGAATCAACTAAATGGGGAGCACTTTCCTGAGTCTTTGGATCAAAATATTTATACGTATTTGTTTCTTGAAACCACCCATGACATTGTTTATCTTTTTCTGGAGTCACATGAGACTTTAACTCTGAAAGAACTGTACTATCTTTCTGAGCTGTGGCCTGTTGATCAGCGTTAGAAGTGCACACATGGGTTGGCTTGAGGAATTTTTTCATCAATGATGAGTTTTCATGGGGACTTTGCTTTTTGGAAGAGATGTGCTGTACTAACGGTTCTGTGTCAATGCAAAGACCACCACCGCTTTCTCCCCTGTAATCTCTATTTTTACAAATTGCAACTGTGTTTAACTTCAGGATATGTTTGGGAAGTGCATTTGGTTTAGGGAACATACTTTTGACTGGAAGCCCCAGGAGAAAATGAAGGTATTTGTATTGCAAATCAAGATCTATTTGATGAAGAGATTTTTCCTCGAAAAGTAACAAAACTTTGTTTTTTCGTTTTGGTACTTTGGTACCAGAACTAACAAATTTAGATAAAGGTTTCTTTGTATTCTGAGCATTGGCCATTGTGTAGGATTCTCTTACAATTCTGGGAAAGGCTGTCATTTGAATCTCTAATGTTTTTATAGAAAAGTGTACGAAAAGTTTGTCTTTTTCTTCTGCTGAGTAGTTTGGAAGAATAGGAGTCAATGGCATCTCATTAGCAGAAGTCGCTGAAGATGCTCCACTTTCTAGCTTTCTAATACTCTTTTGGTTTGCAATGATCTCTTTGCCGTCACTTGAAACATTGACAATCAATGTCTTCATACAGCGGACAGGAGGTGAATCCTTGGGGTATTTCTGATTTAAATTAGGTTCTGTAGCATCAATCCCTTCTAGAGACAAAAAGCACATTTTTTTATGTCTTGGATATAGCCTCCAACTGTTATGTTCTGAAATAGACTGTTTTAGATAAAAGTTGAAGTTGTGGAAAGATTTTTTTGCTATCTCTGGTATCAGATTCAGTTTTATTTCAAACGCTTTTGACTCTAAATGATTAGTGAGCTTATTGTTTTCTTTGGGAAGAAGACGTTCCAAAATGAGTTTTGGCTGCAATTTGGGAGGTTTTGTTGTGGATGTTGTATCTGAACTTCCTGCAAAAGATGGTGACTTCCAAGCATCAGGCTTATGAGCTTTTATTTTTTCCAGTATATCCTCACAAATTTCGTCCTGAATCATGTTTTTTATCTGGGATTCCAAGATATTTTTAACTGCTTCATAAAGAGGAAGTAAACTTTCAGCACTTGTCCTTTCTGCCACTACTTTTATTTCATTACTTTTAACTTGGGATGGTACAGGCCCACTTCCTGGAAAAGTTTTTTGTTGCTGGACCTTTGGTGTCGTCGTGTCCTGGATAGGTTCACTCTGATCCCCCTGTTTTGGTGGCGAGGCACACCCCATGATATCGAGTAGTTCAGCCCCATGTTGTGTTTCTTCTACTCCTGGGGGGGAAATATTCATGCTTAGGGTACTTTCCATGTGGGTTTCTACACTGTCCTTTGGCTCATCAGACATGAGTGGACACTCTGTGGGCGTCAGAATGGGTTTTGGTGCCTTTTCTTCTTCCTCAGTCATAAGCAAGTAGGGTTCCTTTATGATCCTTGAGCTATCAAGCCCTGGAACAACGTTTTCTTCTTTTGTTTGTGGAATCAAAATGTTTTCCTTTGCTTCACGGCTGAGGTTTGTTTCTGATTTTGACAGTGGGGGGAAGGGAGGACACCCTTCTTTTACAATGCTTGAGCTATTCCTCTTAATGTCACTAGTGCTTGGTGATTTCTGTTGGAATTCAGAAAGACAGAGTATCTTTTCTCTTTCTAGGTTTGTCTCAGATTCTGCTGTTTCTTCAGTCTGAGATGAATTCACCGTGGAAATAGAAAGATTTCTGATACATATTCCTGAAGTATCTTCACGCCACAAAACTGTTTTCTTTGGTCCGCTGAAGTCATACTCTAATTTCTTTCTATTGCTTGGAATACCACGTCCTGTGTTATTAAGAATCTGTGAAATTGGGTGGTTTTGGATTTTCATAGTTAAATATTTGGGGCTCAGTTCTCTCTTCAAATCTGCTATTGTTAATCTGCCTTTCCGGCCTTCAAACTTGAGAGAAAGAGGAATGTAGGCATAAAATGAATCCAGAATATGTTTTTGAAACATTTTTCGTGGCTGAATATTTTGTTTTGCACCAGGGACTTCTAGGTCCTTTTTATGTTTTTGCTTGATTGGGCAGCTGTTTCCTATACGAGTGATCACCTGAGTGTTAATTTGAGACTCCTCTGCCTTTGGAGATGGAGTGTTCCCATTTACAACATTATTTGTGTCCCTTTTTAAGTTCTCCTCTAGACTGACAATGATGTGTTTGTGCATTTCTGTTTTGTCCTTTTCCAGACAGATAGCTATGTTTGTGTCTATTTTTAATTCCCCTTCTTCCAGTTCTAATGTTTTTTGCTCCAGATTTATAATAGTACTGGTGTCCATTTTATTTTTTCCTTCCAGATCTTCAGATTGAGCTGGAAAAGTCCAGTGGGAGGGAAGAGGCTTCTGACATGATTCTAGAATGCATTCCTTTTGTTCTGGCACCAGCAATGCCTGCTCTTTTTTCCCTCCGAGGGTATCAAACACTGTAATACCCACATGTGTTCCTGGTAGTATTTGTATTCTGGGGTACACCATAGTTTGCTTGCATACATCTGTTTCCAATTGCGTCTTCTGCCTTCCATCTTTAAGTGGGAGTTTAAGAGAAAGGCTGGAATCCAGGCAGGTCTCATGTCCCCTTTCAGACTGTAACACCACTTGCTTTTTCACAACAATCTCTTGTTCTTCTATAATTGGGAGAGTATCTGACTCTGTGATATTCATTTTCTCAAGCGATCCCTTTGTCTGTAGGGCTAATGCTTTGGAAGAGGGCATTTTGCTCATTTTATCATGATTTTGTACCTCTTTCTCTGGCTTATCAGATGTGTATGAATTTCCAGATCCTGGAGATGCCTTGGATAACGTTTTTTGTTGGGGGGCATCTTGCTCTGAAACAGAAAATCCTTTTGCACGTACAGGGGTACCAAATGTGACATATATTTCCTTGGATATTTTCCTTGGTGGTGAAACTAAACTCTTAGGACTCCTTTTATGGTTTAAATCATCCATTATTTCAGTTTCTTTCTTCAGGTTGGCCATCTTAGCTGGATCCATTGTGGGGTAGGAAAGAAACGTAGTAAAAGTTTCTGTTTTGTATTTTTCTGGTCGAGCCTCTTGCCCTGTAAAGAAATATTCCAGCCTTTTCCCACTTATGGTACCAAATCCTGTTAAATAAATGTCCTCATGCTGTGAATTTAAAACTAACAGACTCAAGTCTCCTTCAGATTTGACTCGTGGAGGTTCATTCCTTCGCTGTACACTGACCATGAAGTTGGATGTCCACTGTTGCACTGTCTCTTCTTGTGGCACAGAGTGTTTGACTTTCTTCACAACGATTTCACTATCACCAGCAACTAGCTCTGTAATTGCTGTTTTCTGGGTATCTGATGATTCCTGGAGATTTTGCTGGAAAGGAGAGGATCCTGTAGCTCCTGGTACATCTTTGTCTATTTTGTTCCCTGAGTCTAGATAAAGGGCAGGTGCTGATGGGATGGAAAGAAAAGTCCTTGTCAGAACTATAGGTAGCTCATCTTCACCTTTGCACATATTTTCCTTTTGTTCTTTAATATTCAACACAAATTCCTTTGTGTTAAAGATATGGGAAATTGATGAAATCCTGGCCTCTTTGCGATGCATCCTAATCCTCATATCAACTGTTTTCACTTCATACTTTTTTTCTTTCTGTGACATATGTTGTTTTCTTTCTCTTACATCACGAATTGCCCCTGCACCTAATAATGCTGAAAGCATGCATGGAAGTAGAGAGGGCCTTCTAATTCCAAGCATTTTTTCATTTACTTGTGTACCTTTATCTAATGTAGGGTTAGCTGAATGTTTGGAAACATAAATTTTTCTGAGCACTGTACAGGGTGGTTTACCTTGACCGTCATGTTTCTTTGGTTCTTGCCCTCCAATGATTAGATGCAATTCTGTTCTATGGAGCATACGTGAAGGAGGTGATTTCTTTGACTTCAAGATTATATCTGTGATATGCGCCATACTTTTCATATTTGTTTTTTCTCTGTCCTTCTCCTCTTCCTGAGGCATACATTGTTTTGCATTTTGACTATCTTGCAAGACATCACCACCGATTGCTTCTGTATGTACTATTTCTCTGGCATTTGATACTCTCTGCACAACAGACCTTGTAGCTACTAACATTTCATCATCTACCTGTATTTCTTTATCCAATTGGAGGAGAGGGAGAGACAAAGATGGAGAGGAAGTGTTGGCCAGAACCACACCTGGTTCATCTTTACTTCCTTGTATCTTCTTTTCTTGATGTTTGGGGAACACGAGGTTTACTGTTTCTACTTCACCCCCCTCCTTGTTCTGGGGCATCTGATCTTTTCCTTTTTGTGGACTGATTAAAATATCTCTAGCAGTTGGCTCTACACTTTCCACATCTTCAGAATCTGATGATTCCTGGAAGTTGACTGGGGAAAGAGAGGATCTTGTTAATATGGCCATTCTCTTTTTCTCACATCTGGGATTCTTGTAAAGGTGAAGTAGGGAAGATCTACAAGTACAAGTACAAGTCTTAGTTGGTATTGTACCACCTGGCTCACGCTGACCTTCCTGAGCCATTCCCTCTTGGTCTTTAGTTTTCCACGGATGGTCACTTAGATTGTATCTAAGTAAAATAGGTGATCTCTTTTCTTTTAAATGCCTATCACTGGGAGCCACTGTACTATTCATCTCCACGTTTTTCTCTCCATCTCTCACTTCTTTCTGTAACGTATGTTCTTTTAATTCTTTTACATCATTTGAAAGTTCTCCATCAGTTGTTTCTGCATATGCTGTTTTCACTGCATCTAGTGATTCCTTGGACTGTAGTTGTGGGAGAGGCACATTTGTAATTCTTATCATGTACCCCTCTCCTGTTTTGCCAAAGTTAAGATATGGTAGAGTCAGTAAAGAAGTACAGATGTTTCCCAGATTTTCAACGAGGTCATTTTTCTTTTTCTGCATCTTTCTCTCTTGCTCTTTCATTTTCCACTGCAATTTTTTGGTATCTAGTATATGTGAAAGGGGTACTTCCTTTGCCTTCAGAGCCATACATCTTGGGATCATTTTGTCTTCAATATCTATTTTGAGTCTATCCTTCTCTTTTAACTCACCATAAAATGACTTAGTATATGCTTCTTTGCCTGAATTGGATGGATCCTGAATCTTTGATGGTGGAAAAGTGAAGTGTGTTTTTTCTAATGTGTCTTCCTTTTCATTCATTTGCCCGTCCCATTTCAGGCAAGATGGAGAAGGCAAGGAGGCACAGGCTTCCTTCAGAACCATTTCTGGTTCACTTTTGCCTTCTTGCACTTCTTTCCCTTGCTCTTTAATATACAAAGGTAGTCTCTTTCTACTGGATAGATGTAGAGGTGAGGATATCTCTGCTCTCAAAGTGATTATTTTTGGGAATCTTCTACCTTCCCCATCTTTTATTTTTACTCTGTTCTTTACCTTTGTATATGGCATAGGCTGATTAATTTTTATTGTTACATCGAAAGAGCCAATGCCCTCATTGGAATCTGCATGTCTGGTTTTTCCTGCATCTGATGACTCAGGGCACAGCAATTGTGAAGGAGAGCATCCTATCATTGCAAGCGAGTCCTTGTTTTCTTTGGTTCTTGTGTCCAAACTGTGGTGAGGTGGGGAAGGTGTGGAAGGAGGAGTTTTTGTCCGAGCCACATCAGGGTCAACTGTTCTTTGCTGCTCTTGTTCTACTTTCTCCATCATGCTCCACTGTGGTTCCTTTCTGTTGTTCAAAGCACTGTGCTCAGTAACCCTGAACACAGGAGGAGGTGGTGATATCTTTGCCTTACAATCTGTGCCACTGGGCCGCATTGAGCCATCTGTGGCTTCTGTTTGTACTCTGTTCCTTTCTTCCTGTCGTGGGTGTTGTTCTTCTTTTATCACATGGCTATCAGATGACTCTGTAGGTGCCACTCGCCCTGAAGGCAATGATTCTTGGAGCTCAAGATGTGGCACATCATTTCTTATTATTCCTGGCTCACCCTCCTCATCTTTTATTGTGTCCCACTTAAGATGAGTTGAAGAAGTGATGAAAGGATGAATTCTGCTCAGAAGCACAACAGTGTCCTCGTTATCTTCTTGCCCCACTTCCCCTTGTTCTTTGATGTTGACTTGCAGTTTCTTTGTTTTGAGTATAAGGAAAAGGGGTGATTTCTTTGCCCTCAAAGCTATGTACCTGGGGTGCATTATGTCTTCCTCAAAAGTATTTGCTTTCTCCTCTTCTGTTTGTGTCATGTATTCTGTTCTTTTTGAACTGCTTGCGATGCCATTCAAAGATGGTACTGTATATTTTAATTCCTCGGCATGTGATGATTCCTTGTGCCATGAGGGTGGAAGAGAGGGTCTTGTTACTCCTTCTTTCTCTTCCTTGCCTCCTATACCTTTGTTTAACTTAAATGGAAGTAGAGAAGTTCTTGTCAGAAGCTTATCTAGTTTGCTTCTTTCCTGTAGGTTTCCTAATTTTTCCTTCATTTTTGTCTGTACTTCTACAATTTGGGAGCCACAGCTCCCAGAGGTATAGAGTACATGTGGGAGTGGTAATACCTTTTCCTTGGAAGTTGTGCCTTTGGGATACATTAGATATTTCATATTTACTATTTTTCTTCCATCTTCTCCTTTCCCTGGCTCATACTCTTGCACTACTCTTAGATCCTTTGAGATATCATCCCCAGTTGACTTTGTATATGCTGTTTTCCCTGCCTCAAATGATTTCTGTAACAGTAGTTGTGAAACAGCAGGTCTTGTTATTCCTTGGCTGTCTTCCTCTCCTTCTATTCTTGTGTCCAATTCATGGTGACTTAGAGAAGATTCAGAAGCCCCGTGTGTGGGCAGAACCACTTCCCGTTCACCTTTACCTCCTCCCTCCATTCTCCCCTGCTCTTCACTTTCCGGATCCACGTTCACCTGCTCTTTAAGATCCGGTGGTATGTCCTGTGAAAGTGCTTGCTTTCTTTTTAAATCTTTATCTTTTGGATGCATCACGTCTCTCTCAGCTGATATCTCTACATCACTCCCTTCTTTCTGTGGCACATAGTCTTTTGCTTCTTGTACATCACTTGCGGCATGGTCATCAATGGACTCTTTATTTGCTTTTTTCACTGCATCTGATGATTTCTGGTGTGATAGTTCTGGAATACAGTATCTTGCAACTTCAGTTAGAGAGTCTGCTGTTTGAATTCTTGTACCCAACTTTAAATGAGAAGGAGCAATTATGCAAGGGCTGGTATTGCTCACAAGGACATTTGGTTCATCTTTAATTTTTTGTACCTTTGTCTCTTGCTCTTCAATATCCAGCTGGGTTTCCTGTGAAATTGGTGATTTCTTTTCCCTGAAAGGTATGACTTCTTCCTTTTTTACTCTCTCCTCTTCTTCCTGCATTATATGCTCTTTGGCTTTATTTATGTTGCTTGAGATATCACCATAAACAGACTCTTTGTATGCTATTTTTTCTATATCTGATGACTCCTGGAGTTCTGGTTGTAGAAAAGAGGACCTTCTTTTTATTAGCCTGGTTTCTTCCCCTGTTATTCTTATGTCCACTTCTGAGTGAGATGGAAAAGAGACGGAAATACAAGATGTGTTCCGAATCCCAACTTGATTATCTTTACGTTCCTGCATGTTTTTCTCATTTTCTTTGATGTTCAACTGTAATTCCTGTGTGATTCGAGACTGTTTCACTTTCAAAGCTATTCTTTTGGGTTGCATTATTTCTTCCAAAGCCATTTCTACTCTATCTCTCCGTGGCACATATTTTGCTTTTTTTATACTGCTTAAAATATCATCAGTTGGCTCCTCACGTACTCCCATTGCATCAGATAATTCCTTGAGTGTCAGTGATGGAAGACAAAATCCTGCGATTCCTCGCATGAGGACCTCCTTTATTCCAGGCATCCGTTCCAGGTGCGGTGAAGAAGGAAAGGAAGCATGGTGTTTATTCTGAACCATGTCTAGATCACTTTTATCTTTCTGCATCGTTTCCTCTTGTTCTTTGTTATTCCACTGTGGCTCTTTTCCATGCAGTATATATTTAAAAGGTGTTTTCTTTCCTTTAAAAGTGACACATTTGAGGCCCATGATGTCTTTCACATATACTATATTTTCTCCATCTTCCTTTTTTCCCTGTGGCAAATGTTTTGATTCTATTACACGGCTTAAACTATCTCTATTAATTGACTTTGCAAATAGTGTTTTCCTGACACTTGATGATACCTGGGACTTTAACGGTAGAAGGCAGCTCTTTAGTATTCCAGACTTACCTTGCCCTACTTTTATTCTTGAATTCACATCAGTATGTGGTAGAGATGGTAAGGAAGCACACAAGCTTGTCGGTTTCATACATGGTTTACCTTTACCTATCCGCACCTTGCTGTCTTGTCTTGTAATGAACGAGCCAATTTGTTCTGTACTTGGAATGTAATCCATGGTGCTAACTACTTCTTTTGATGCCTTCTCTTTACATGGCATCTTGCTCTGAAATATGTCCCTCAAAGAGTGAGAAGCAGGTTTTGGAGAAATCTGGTGTATACATTCTGGTTGCTTTTCTTCTTTTCCCTCAACAGGCAAGCCAATTCCTTCTGTATTTGAAGTGTGGTACATTGGAGCCTTTAATGCTTCCTTTACACATGGCAATTTCATCTGAAGGACATCTGTCAAGGAATAAGAAACAGATGTTGGAAGAGCCTTGCATGTACTTTCTTTTTGAGGTTCTTTTCTTCTCCTGTTGTGCAAGTCAACTCCTTCTGAGCACGGAGGTTGGTCTACTGGAGTATCTGCTTTATTTGATGCTTCATCTACCACTGAACTCAAAACTTTTGAACTCCTTCCTTTCGCTGAGACATTTTTCTTTAGCTTATTATTATGGAGTCGATGCACTATGCATGAAGAAATGGATTCCAGAATATTTTTTTTATTCTGGTTAGACCTATGTAGTTGCTTCGCCTTCAGTTTTCCAGAAAAAATCATTTTCTTTTCATTTAATCTCAATGGACTATCAGTTACCTGTGATTGCTCTTTTCTCCATGGATTTACATATAAATTTATAGGAATGCTTACATCTTCCTTCCTTGTATTTACCACCTGTGTTATCTGGAAATGATTATCCCTATTTGGGCAAGATACAGAATCCACAGTACTTTCAGGAATGTCATCTGGCTCCATCTCTCCTTTCTGCACTGCAGATATATTTTGCTGGGCCACCAGATTGGTGTAAAGAAACTTCTGTCCTTTTGAGCCTTGGAAGATATCAGTTTCTTCTATATCTTCTCTTCCCAATAGATGTGAAATATTTTTTTTGCTGGTGTACATCTCTTCCTCAGCTACCTTTCCTGTGTTTTCCAAACGAGAAGGTTCCATAATGGGGTAGGCAACAGACCCCAGATTTGTCATTGAAACACTTCCTTGTTTTGGCAATTCTTGCTCCTTGCAAGTCTTCTGTTGAGAAGCATTCAACTCTGTAAGAAATATATTCTGTCCTTTTGAACTTAATGAAGCATCGGTTTTCTCTGATACTTGTCTCCCCGATGGAATTGAAACCGAACGTTCAACCATGTCTATGTCTTCTTCCTTCACTCTTTGTGCAACAAGGAATTCACATCCTGTAAGTTTTTTAACTCTTGGGGCATCGAACCTAGGGTAATTGATATCCCTCTTCTGGGAAGATAGACCAGGGTATACTTCTCTTTCCAACGTTACTCCTATTTTCATGGGGTCAAGCTCCTTCTTCACTTGTTGGCCAATCACTAACTGTTCTCTACATTGAGGGAGAATGTCTAGTAAAAGAGTTTGGTGATTTTCTTTTTGTGCTCTAATGCATTGTTTCAGTGTTTTGATATTTCTTGATATAGTATTCTTAATATCAGTGGACTCTGAAGATGACATTTTTCTTTGGCTTAGTGATTTCTCTAGCTTTCGCTGGGGAGGAGTGTAAAGGGGCTTTCTTGGCCTGTCTTTCTCCCTTTTTACTTCTGTAAACTGTTTAATTTGAGATGGACCAGATCCAGAATCACAAATAGTGCTCAGAAGTAAATCTGTTACAGTTTTATCTTGCCAGAACTCCCTCTTCTGCTTCTTCATGTTACATGTCTGTTCCTTTTTGTTTCTTCTGGTCCTACATCCTATAGTATGACACAGCTGGGAAACAGGTAGCTTCTTTGCTTTCAATTTTACCCGTTTGGTATGCATACTATTTTTCACATCTGCTGTTTTTGCCATAGCTTTATGTTTTACGATTTGAAGATACACAGGTGTGCAGGCATAAGCAGAGCTAGCATTTGCTTTGTTTAGGGCATTTCCCTTTTCAGAAGACTCTTCAGAGATACCCCAGGTACTAGGTGATGGCTCCATTTTTATGTGTGAAAAAATAGGCATGGAATCATATACGGATTTGAGGTCCACACGTAATACAGTTTTCTCTCTCTTCGTGCCTATCTTCTTTTCCTGTCGCTCATTATTGCTTAAAGCAGCACGACTGGTAGCATGAAGCGGTTGTGAAATCACTAGCCCTTCGGTTGGCAGCTCTCTATGTGTTGGCTGTGTGTGATGGAACTGTGATCCTCTGTCAATCCCTGTTTTCAATCTGCTCTGCCTTCTAAGGTCAGGGGTATCCGGTGTGAAGTCAATGGTATTTGGAAATGTATTAGCCACATTTTTATCCTGCCTCATCTGTTTCATTTTCGTTTTTAAATTGGATCCAGGTTTATTCCTGTATTTTGTGGTAAACTGCCTTCTGATCTTAAGTATTTGTGAAATTGCCGGCTCCTTTTTCTTCATAATTGAACAGTTGATATTCAAGGTGATTTTCTCTTCTAATAACTGTACTGTGTTTTTCTGGCTTTCAGGGTCAGATAAAATAGGTGTGAAGAAGTCTAAAGGCCCCAAGAAAGTTGTGGCAGAGTTTCCCCCTAACTCTGCCTTTTCTTCTGTAGTATGACCACGCAGATTTTTGTGAAGTGTTCTGTTATATATGGTGCTCCTTGCTATTGTATCGAATGAGTGTTTATCAGTCACTATCTTGGATGGTGGAATCTCAGTTCCCTCAGCAGCAGGGAGTGACGCCTCTACAACACTTTCAATCCACTGTCTCCCTTTCATCTTGTACTGAAATGTGCACCCCTTTTTCTTTCTATGGCTTCCTGTAATACACCTTGTGGTATTAAGCAATTGTGAACTTGGTCGTTTCTTTGCCTTCAAAGTTACATGCTTGGAACTTACTATACTTCTCTTGCTTACAAACTCGAATGCATAGCTCTGGCTTTTGGGTACAGATGAATCAAGGCTGGAAAAATCTGAAGGTTTTAAGACTGTTCTCACTAAGTCATTTTGATTCCATGCCTTCTTCCCTGAGATAGGACTATCCCAATGTCTCCTAGGATTTCCATCCCATAGAGTGCCACATTGTATTGAAGTGGTCTCTGATTTCCTTGCTTTTGGCAATGGAGTCTTTACACGTTCCATACATTTTATTCCTTCTTGAGTAGAAAGACCTTTTTTCTCTGTTTCAACTTGAAGAAAAGTCATCATGTGTCTAGAAACAGGCTCCGAAACGGTTTCTCTAAAGCATTCTTCTTGTCTCATCTTTTGTGCTGTCCAAGGCAAATTCCAAGTCCTTCTGACTTCTGAATTATTCAGTTCAGATGTTGATTGGGAAGAACCAGGATTTTTCATTTGATCGGCGCTGAAGCGGTGGTGTTGCCCACAGTGTGGAACTGAATCCAATAACATTCTTTGGATATTTTCCTCTTCCTTTTCATGTTGCACATTCATTTTCATTGTCTTGCTTGATCTGTTTTGCATATTAGTTGAGCTGGCCTGGTTCCATGCTTCCCTATCACATGGTGATTTCCTTCGCTTTGCAGGGATATGGCTGTGCAGATTTACTCTTAGTTGATCTGTCTCTGCTTTTGATGTGCTCTTCATTTCAATATCTATTTTGTTATCAGCTGAAACAGGTGTGGGAGACAAAAATGCATTAGCTATACTTTTATTTTGTTGCTTGTCTTTTATTGAAGATTTTAAGTTGCCGTCCTGTTCCTTTCTACAGTAGAGATTATCATGCTCAGTGATATGAAGCATCTGTGAACAAAGCGGCTTCTTTGCCTTCATGGTTACACATTTGGGACCCGTGAGATTTTTCCTTCCTGGAGACTTTAATACCTTTTCCTGCCTTATAAAGTCAGAGAAAACGGATGTTGTGGACGTTGTTAGTAAATCTCTTTGCAACTCTCTATGTTTTCTGGCAATGCAACCACTCATTTTCCTCCTAGAGCTTCCATCACCAGGATCTCCAAGCACTGAGTTTCCCGATTTGGTAGGCGGAATATTTTGATCAACTCTGTGCTTCACTACTTTGTGAGTTTTTATGCCTTCCCCCTTGTCTTCAGGTCGTAGGGAAACTGCCATGTGAACATCCAGCTTCCTTGCAGAGCTCGCATCAGATTTGGCACTACACTCTGCTCCATCAGTTGAAAAGTAGTCCAACAGTGCTGTCCCTGATTTTGGACATGGAATCTTTTGACCGAGTCTATGTGGTATGTCTTTTTGTGGTGGGATGTTCTTCCTCAGCTCTTGAATGTGAAGTGGAATCAGAGGAGGACAAGTAGACTCCAATTTATTTTCTGAAACCACTGTCTGTTGCTGTACTTCCTGCTCTGTAATAAACATATTTTGATCTTTTCTCCTTCCTGTACTACACAGGAAATGTAGACCTGCCTCAAATAAAACTCCAAAACCCTCTCTTTCTTTCCCACTTTGCCATCTTGATTCTGATGTGCTGCTTGAGTTGCTCCCATTATTAGAGGAATATGGACACAGTTTTTCCCCTTCATGTTGTTCTAGCTGTGAAATACTGCTTTTATTCCTTAATGGGTCTTTCTTTGCTTTTATTTTTTGATGCGTTTTGATGGCAGGTGAAACGGGTGTATGTGAAAGGTAGGTATTCATAAATATATCTGACATACCTTGAGATATTTCTGGGGCCATGTTTTCCAAGACGCAGTCCTGTTCCTTTCCATGGCTAAGAGCTGTAGACCTAGCGATGTGGATCGTCTTTAAAATTGATGCCATCTGTGCTTTCCCCGTTCTAGATTTGGGGATTTGTGGTGTCTTTCTCCACCCTCTAAAATCAGATGAAGCTAGAGTGGTGAAATCCAAAAACTTCAAGGTTCTCCCTTGTAACTCCTTTTGCAATCTTCTCTTCCCTTCTGGAGTAGATCTAGCAAGTTCCTTTCTAGGGCCTCTTTCAGATGGGATGTCACTCTGTGTTGTAATAATTAAAGATTCACGAACAGATTTCCCTAGCTCCGGAGATAAAAGCTTTGGGCTCTTTGCATATTGCAAGCCTTTCTGTGCTTTCGTTCTTTTTGGTAGCTTCTCAACTGGAAGTGAATTCAAGATAGTGCAGGAAACACAATGCAACACGCTTTGTGTGAAAAGTGTTTGTTGCTGCTGCTCCTGAGCTGTGTTAAGTGGTTCTGGGATTTTTTTCCTTGCTGAATTCTCCAGTTCTAGTTCTGATCTCACACAGCGAGGCTCCTCCATTTTACCAGTGATGGAACTGAAGTGCTGAGAACTCCGTGGGGCTGCTTCTTCACGTTGGCCTTTGACCTCCTTCATGCCCCTGGAGGCACGGCCCCTCTTGTCACTGGAAAAGGCCCCGCTGGCTCTCTCTCCATCTGGTGACAGCTCTTGCTGTTGCCGTTCGTGACTAAATCTCATTGTCCACAACACATCTGACTCTGCTTTTATTCTGTTATGCATTTTCACGTCAAGTGAAACAGGCATGGGAGAGGAGATGGCATTTAGGGTTTTGTCTGCCACGGGTTTACCTTGTTTCATCATGATACTGAAGTTGCATTTGAATTGCCTTCTATGGCTTGGAATACCACGTTTTGTGATGTGAAGTGTCTGGGAAATTGGTGGCTTTTTTGTCTTCAAAGTTACCCATTTGAGACTCATTTTCTTTCTCTTCTCTGTATATTTTAAATGGTTTCTCCTTCTTTTCAATGCAGGTAAAGCAAGTGTGGATAAATCCAAAGACTCCAAAATCGTTGCTGGAAATTCTTGTGCTAATCCTTCTTTTTTCTCTGCAATAAGATCTTCCGGTACCCCAGAGCACTTTGTATGAATTAAAAAGTCAGTGTTCTGTGATTTCAGGGTCTTTGGAGGTAAGTTTTTTAGACAACCATTCCCTGAGATACTAAATATTGTTGAAATTGGCGTTTTCCTTGCCTTCATAATTACACATTTGGGACTCATTTGATTTTTTAAGGCTCTACATGTAAATGTCTTTCTCTGCTTTTTCGATTCAGACAGATCAGGCGTGGAGACCTCCGAATACTCCAGGACAGTTGCTTCTAGATTTTTTTTAAACTCTGCATTTTCCTCTTTACCATGATGGTACAGTTCCCCCATATGGCTCCCAACACTTGGGACACCACCCTTCACTGTATCCACTAAAACTTGACCAATTAGTGAGTCCTTTGACTTTAGAGGAGGAAGCTTTGAACTTGCTATATATATTGCACCATTTTGTGGATGGTGGCTTTTCTTTGGCTTCTCTCCCAGCATGGAATCTGTAGGCTGCATTTGTTGTGGGATGTCTTGTTCTATAACAAAGAGAATTTTCCCACTTCTTTGGTTTTCTGATTGATGTAGGTCAAGCTCCTCCCTCTGGCCTGAACAGAATTTGAAATGTGTGCTGTGCTGTGAAATTACTTTTAATATCTCCTGGTCACCGGTTTCTTCCTCCTCATCTTGAACACTGTTTTCTTTGGTGTCATCTGAAGTAATATTCCCTTCCAGTGGTGATGTTGCTTGCTTTACTTGTTTAGCCCTGAGACTTCTTTCTCCTAACATATCTTTTTCTCTTTCTATCTTGTTATACGTATTAATGTCAGGGGTAATAGTCATGAAAGAATACATTCTAGCTGCCATTTTTTCTCCGTGATGCACCTCTTTCATTTTGGTTATAGGGTTACATCCCAATTCTTTTCTATGGTTTGGGCTAACAGCACTCTTGATATTGAATATGTTTGAAACTGACAGTTTCTTTGCCTTTAAAAGTCCATATTTGGTATTCACTGAGGTTTTCTTGTCTGAATATTTGAAGTTTCTCTGGGGTGTAGATAAAGCAGGTAGGCAGGAATCAAAAGTCACTGTGTCTTTCTTTTCAACACCACCAGCCTGTTCCTTTTGGTGATTTGCATCAGATGGGACACCATGTTCTCTTGCAGAAAAAATGATCTCATCATTCTTCACTTCCTCTGACTTAGGAGGTGAAAACCCAGCGTAACTCTCTAGCTCTCCAAATTGAAGCTGATCCAGTATGGGGCAGGAAGCATAACTTAAAACAGTTTGTGTACCATGCATTTGTGGTTGTACCTGAAGATTTCGACTTCGTGGTTGTTTCAGCTCCTCATCTGATTGGACAAGGTCAAAATTCTCCTTCTGATACGCATTGAATATGAAGCTTTGGCTATTCTCTGGAGCTGGTGACACTTCATGTTTTCCTTCCTTCTCTTTCCCATCTTTCATACTGTTAGATAAGGTACTCACGATATGATCCGTGCAACATACTTTTCCTCCATTTAGCAATTTCTCTTGCATTAGCTGCATATAATCCAGTCCTGTTACCCTCTGCATATCTGTCTCTACATTTAATCCGCTATTCATTTTGGTGTTGGGCAAAATAGGCACCCGGGACTGAATGATATTGAGAAATGCATCTGCTGCGTTTTTATTTTGTTGTGGCTTTTTCATTTTTGTTTTAAAATTGCACTGCTGTCCCTTGCTCTGCGTGCCATTAAGCATATGTGAAGCTGATGGCTTTTTTCCCCTAATAGTTCTATATCTGTGATTTGCTGTTATTTGCTTCCTTGCTAATTCTAATGTGTTTTCCTTTCTTTCAGATTTAGAAACAAAGGGCTCAACAGAACCAGAAGAATGCAGGCATGTCACTTGCAAATCTTTTGGTAACTCTGAATTGTTTTCCACAAAGTGAGAATCTACTACCCTTTTCGGGTTTCCACCAGATGGTAAGTCACACTCTGTCATGGTGTTGAAAATGTTATCAAATGATGAGTTCTCTGCTTTGGGAGGTGGACTCTCGGCACCCATAGGGGCTGTTATGGCATGTTCTGTTTGGCTGGGTTTCTCGAGTTCCTCGCCTTCTCTAGGAGCCATCTGGAGGCTAGTCTGCAAGGCAGTTTGTGCAAACCATGTTTGGTGCTGAGCATCTTGCTCCTGTGTTAAACTGCTCAGTGCTGTGTACTGTTCGTCAGGGTGGGTCTCCTTCCCTTGACATGCATCGGGCCAGAGATGCTGGGTATGCTGCGAAGCTGCCTCTAACAATGTTTTCTGCTCCACTTCCTCTCCCTCTTTCACTTTTTCTTCTTGGTCATGGAATGCACTACACTTATCAAAGAAATCAACATACCGTGGTCTCACTTCCTCTGCTAATTGCCCTTGCTTTAACTGAGCGTGACAGAAGCTGTTTGTCTCTCCTTGTAATCTGCTATGCATAGGAGAAAAAAGGCTACTTATAAAGTCATATACCAATCCGTTAGCTTGGTTGATCTTCTCCAACTTGGCCTTCGCCTCGGAGTCCAATTTCTTTCTATGACCTGTTCTATTAAATACTTGTGAAACTGACGGCTTCACTGTATTCGTTGGTACAGACTTGGGCTTCACTGGACATTCTGTGTGTGAGAATCGTACTCTGTTTTTATTCACTTTTGAGTGAGTTAAAACAGGCATGTGGCAATTAAAAGTCTCTGAATACATTGCTGGTAAATCTTTTGGTAGTTCTGCCTTTGTGTCTGCAAAAAAGTAACCCATTTCCCTTGTATCCTTTCCATAATCTAAAACATCACTTTCTCTTGTTTGGTTTAAAGGGTCTCCAATCACTGATTTTCCTGATGTCGGAAGAGGTATCTCCGCATCTGCAGTGCGTTTTAAGTCTGCTTGTGTTGCTAGGCTTTTCTTCATATTCTCAACATGAAATAGATCCATTATTGGGGTGTCAACAGACTCCACAAGACTTTCTCCGGATGTAACTGGTTGAGGCATTTCTTCCTCTGTTTTGAACTCCTTCTCGGGATTTGCATTCAATCTGAGGTGCCAGGGACCATGAAGGACTGCTTCTGGTCGAGCTGCTTCGTCCCCTCTCACTTCATCTTGCAATTTAGCTTCTTCTAGTGTGTTTCCAGAGTCATTTCCTTTATTAATAAAATTGGAATGCTTTTCTTCCCTTTCATGCTCTGATTCCTCTTGGTTTGGCTTGGTATGGCCGGGATTCTCCGCATTGAGTCTGCTGTGCGTTCTAATACGAGGCACAGTAGACATGTGGGGGTAAGTAACATTCACAAGCACATCAGACACAATTTTATCTTGCAGTATCTGTTTAGTTATGATCTTAAAATTGCCTCTCAATCTTCTCCTAAGACTTGGTATACCATTCCTACTGATATTAGGCATCAGTAAATTTGCTGGCTTCTTTACTTTCATAATGACAAGTTTGGGACCGAGTACCGTTTTTGCTCCTGACCATTTTCTTCTGATTTTCTGCCTTTTGAAAGACGATAAAGGAAGTGTGCGGATGATGAACAACCCCAGGGCAGCTGCAGGGAAAACTCGTTTTAAGTCTTCCTTTTCCTCCGCAATATGATCATCTGGTATCTTTCTGGGGCTTCCACCAAATGGGACATCACGTTCTGTTGTATCAGTTAAAACACCACCCACTGGTAAGTTCTCTAGCACTGTAAGAGGATTCTTCGCATCTGCAGTCTCTCTGCCTGTAGGTCTGTCCGTGATTTGCTTTACCTGAACTTGAAATGGATCCATTGTGGGGCATGGACCAGTCCCCACAATTGTTTCTGTAGAAAGAGTTTGTGGTTGTACCTCTTGCTCTTTATTTGGGTTTTTTCTACTACCTGAACTGCTCTGTTTAATTTCAAATCTGACATATTTAGGCTTCTGCCTTAGTTGCAGGCCGACCCTGAAATCTTGTTTCAGCTGTGGAACTGCTTCTTGTAAAGTTGGTTCCTCTTCCTCTCTGTCATGTTCTTGTGGCTTTTTAATACATCTCTCCTCAATGTATTTTGCATCCGATGCTTTCTTTTCATCTGGTAATTTCTCTTGCTCTACCACTGAATAACTAAACCCTGTTGTCGATGTATCTGTCTTGGCTTTTAATCTGCTCTGCATTTCCATATCAGGCGGCCCAGAAATGGTAGTGTCAGTGGCATTGTGAAACGTTGCAAATATTCTTTTATCTTGCATATTTATGTTGCTTCTGGTGTTACATTGCAGTCTCTCACTTTCACTTGGGTCATCACATTCTGTCACATGAAGGATTAATGGTTTCTTTTCCTTCATAACTGTATCTTCTGTACTCTCTTGAGTTTTTACACTTGCTACTTGCTCACTGCTTTTATGCTCTTTAGTTCCTAGTGAAATGAGCAAATTGACCTCTGAAGTCTCCAGAACAATTTCCAGGAAATCTTTTTCCTTTTGTATATTTCTGTTTGGAAAGCACCTTTGTGTTTCTGGCGAATTAGTTGATAACTCCTCTCCATTTGAAAGTGGAAGATGGGAATTCTCTGTACTTTTTAGGTCTTCCTGTGTTTTCATTCTTCTGTTTGATTCCATTTCAGGAGAGGAAGCAAATTTTTGCCAAGGTTCTGATATAGCTTCTTCTAAAGGTGCCTCATGCTTTGGAATATGCAGGTCAGATGTTTTTTTACTATTGGGGGCATGGAACTCTGCAATACCAATTTCTTTTTCTTGTGTAATTGGGTCTTTAAGAGACTGTTTATTCTTCCAGTTTTTTTCTATTAATAAAGAACAAGGTGCTTTTAATGGAAAAGTATTGACCATGAAAGACTCTTCTAGCCAGGATGGAAGTTTTGCTGAGATGTTTTTTTGTCCTTCATTTTCTCTGCCATGCTGCTTTACATTTTTAGCATTGCCTGAGGTTCCTCTTTTCTCAACAGACCCCACACAACTGACATTCTCCGCATCTAGTGACTTGTTTTGCTTCAGCAGAGAATGTCTACGTCCTGTTACACCTGGCATGACTTCTACTAGTTTTTTTCTGGAATACCTCTTAATATAAGGAGGAACAAGCTTGGAAAAGTAAAGAAGATGCAAAGCTATATCTGATACACCTTTCCTTGGATGTAATTCTTTCTTCTTAGCATTATACTTGCATCCTAACTTGCCAGGTTTTGAAGTGTGGCATACTGTCATTTGAAATACCCATGGAGTTGGTGGTTTCTTCGACTTTTGAGATGAAACTTTGCGACTAAGTTTACTTTTACCGTGTAATGCTTTTCTCCAGTTTTTCTGCCTTTTAAAGGTAAGTGAAAGAGGCACTGAGCTATATACAGAATACTGGTTTAATTCTGAAGAAGCAATTTGTTTCTGGCCCTCTGGCTTTACACTCCTTATTTGGAGCATCCCTTCTGCAAATGAATTTGGACTTACAGTTAAAACTAGAAATCTGGCATTCTTAAAAATAGCATTTTGCCCCTGCGTTAAATGTTTAATCTGGTTTGAATCTTCAAACCAAATAGGAGAATATTGGGTCTCATGTAAGTGTTTATTATCAGACTCTAAGCCCTTGATTGAATGTTGAGTCTCAACAGAATGTGGGACATTAACCAAATGTTGGCTTCTGCCCATAACTTGGGTCTGGAAGGAGTCTTGTGTGCTGCTGGAAAACGGCTTCCTAATCAAATCTTGGGGCAGAGCAAAATACCTGGCCATGATATCAGGCTGGCTGTTGACTGATTCTTGGTTGTTAACAAATTGTTGGGCTTGACTAGTAAATCTGGCTTCATGAAAACCTTGATTCTGAATAGCATTTTGTACTGGAAAAGAATCTTGTGCTTGGGTATGAATATGCATTCCAAAAGAATGTTGATTTTGAATCAAGGACTCTTGAGGTCTTGAGTATGGATAAGTAGTTTTACTCTCTAATATAGTTTTGGGTTTTAAAGGAATTTGATTTCTCACAGTTTCTTCCAGAAGTCTGACTTGGTCTCTGGAAAGAAATAAGTGGGCAGGAGGACATGGTGCCATATCTAGACCTTCACTTTCTCTAGAGATGCTAGAGCGTCTTGAAAAGTTAAAGTCAGAAGAAAATGCTGGATTTTTATTTTTGTTGGTTTTCAATATTGCAAATAATTTCCTTGATGAAAATTGTGCTGTTTCATGTTCATTTTCATATCCTCTATGGCTAAGAAAAAATTCCTTTACTTCTGAATGAAACAGTGACAAAGATGAGCTAGTCCCATGTGAAGATGGCATACGACTTTCACTAGAGTAACTTACTTGATATTTACTTTCATTAGTACCTGACCATATTACTTCATCTGTTGGTGAAACTCTATCTTCAAAGTTACCTTCCTTGTCTTCAGTTTTAAGTGATGAAGTAATTGTTCTTACTGAAAACTCATCAACTCTGAATATAAGAAAACAGTTTGTAAATGAGTTGTCATTTAAGACATATTTCAAACAAGAACTCTCTTCTAGATTTAAGGTAACTCAATAGAGTATAAGAACACAGCTCAATATAAAGATGAATTGAAAAGTCATTATTCACATTACAGAATAACTCATAACCTAGTTCCACTCATTGAATAAATCAATCCACTGACAAAGTGAAGTAAATTATTCTCATTTCTCAGAGAATGAGGGATTTTTACCTCAAAAACCTATCCCAAAGTCTATTTTAAAAATTTATTTATTTATTTTGAGAGAGAGAGAGAGAACAAGTGAGGGAGGGGCAGAGAGAGAGAGAGAGACAGAGAATCCCAAGTGGGCTTTCCACTGTCAACACAGAGCCCAACTCGGGGCTCGATCCCATCAACTGTGAGATCATGACCTGAGCTGAAACAAAGAGTTGGAAGCTGGACGAACTGAGCCACCCAGGTGCCCCTCAAAGTCAACTTTTGACAGCAAAGAGCCAAAGTTGCAAGTTAAAGTTACAGTAAAACTTTGGTTTGTGAGCATAATTTGTTCTGGAAACATGCTTGTAATCCAAAGCACTTGTATATCAAAGCAAATTTTCCCCTAAGAAATAATGGAAACTCAAGTGATTCATTCTTCAACCCAAAAATATTCATATAAAATGATTACAATACTGTAATATAATAGAAAATAATAAAGGAAATACAAAATATAAAAAAAAATAAATTAACCTGCACTTACCTTTGAAAACCCTCGTGGCTGGCATGAGGGAGACAAGAGAAGGGTTATTGTGTAGAACAACTTTCACTATCACTGACTGTCTCACTGCTATCTATTGGCTCAATGGACTCTTTTTCTGCATGGGGACCATTTTATATACTCGCATGGATGTTGACTACAGTACAGTATTAATAAACTCTTGCCATACACTGTATTTAATGTAACTGGAAATAAGACAGCAGAGGAAAGGGTCTGTATCTGCAGGCAGCCTGACCTAGAATGAAGCAAAGTATTCCTAAGCTTACTGTTGTGTGGAAAAACAAAGGACTGTCCATAGATACTTTGAAGTGACAAAAAATACACTAGTGCCAGTTGTGGGAACCTTCCAAAGTTCTGAAAAATCACTGCTTTCTGCCAAACACTGTAGCCTGAGACCAAGCATCCGAGCATGGGAGATGATCACCCACAATCTCACAGAGAAAAAGAGAGAGAGAGAGAGGGAGAAGAACCATTGTGATCATGTGACGTTCGGTGTCATGTACTACCCACAATGCAAAACATCACTCATTTATCAAGTTAAAAAGTATCAAATGTTTGCTTATCTTGTAGAACACTTGCAGACCAAGTTATTCACAATCCAAGGTTTTATTGCATATCCCTTTACAAGAAATATCAGTTTGTTTCTGTTCTCTGCATGCAAATTTGACAAGAATAAAAATATTCTTTTTTTTAAGTTTATTTATTTATGTTGAGAGAGAGTAACAGACAGAAAGTATGTGTGCATGACAGCAGGGGAAGGGCAGAGAGTGAGGGAGAGAGAGAATCCCAAGCAGGCTCCACACTGTCAGTGAGGTGCCTGATGTGGGGCTCAATCTCTCGAACTGTGAGATCATGACCTGAGCTGAAATCAAGAGTTGGATTTAACCAACTGAGCCACCCAGGCACCCAAAGTTTAAAAATATTCTTATGGATGGGCGCCTGGGTGGCTCAGTCAGTTAAGCATCTGACTACGGCTCAGGTCATGATCTCACAGTTTGTGAGTTCAAGCCCCACGTCAGGCTTTGTGCTGACAGCTCAGAGCCTGGAGCCTGCTTTGGATTCTGTGTCTCCGTCCCCCTCTGCCCCTACCCCCCCTCTCAAAAATAAATACATATTAAAAAATTTTTTTTAAATATTCTTGTGGAAATTTATTAGATGCAACAGAAGAATGTCCAATACCATAAACTAACTGTAGCTTTCTATATATAAACCCAGATTATTTTAACAGCTGTTTATTTCTGATTGAGAGAAAAGCCTACATGTTAGGTCAGTGCTTCTCAGCACAATTTTGGATTGGAATAATGATCATGGAAGTGGACTCTCTAACATCTATTCTACATCAAATGATTAGACTAAGTCTAACATAGTAATCTCGTTCCACTTCCAAGTGATTAGGTTAGGTGCGGACATGAACTGATCCTAGAATAAGACAAAGATTTGTAAGGACTTATGGAGAAAGCTGCCTTGTTCCTAAGAAAGACACAGAGAAAAATGGCCTTTTACTTCCTCTGGACATTGCTGCTCTGATTTTGAAACTCTGATAGCCACCTTCCCCCCCCCCCCCAAGATAAAACTAACACTGAGAAAGGCAAAGGGAGAGATACAGGACCTTAATGAACTTGTTGGTCTACTGTATCAATCCATTCTGCAGCCTATTCTGCCTCAGGATTCCCATTATATAATATCATAAATTCTCTTAGTATGACAGTGTGCATCATGGTTTTCTGTTCCCTGGGAATGAAAATATCCTAACAGATACAGGAAGGATACATAAGCATTCTGGGGAATTAAGTGACTCCAATAAGTTACACCAGTGTCGAGACATAATTAGGATAAAATTTCATCAGGACAAGAATGTGATTATTCACTTAAGGTTGAACAAATAGTGAGAATATAAGAAATACAGAAAATTGATGTCTGCATGTTTCAGGAAAAAGAGGAAAGCTTAAATGCAAGACATGTATTTCAGCAAAAATACTGTGTTTTTAAACATAATAAGACAATAGTAGATAATTCTCATATGTTGAGCCAACCATGCATTCCTAGAAACAATCTCACTTGGTCACAGTGTATAATCCCTTTAATATGCCGCTGGATTTGGGTCGCTAGTATGTTTTTGAGGATTTTGCTTCTATATTTATAAGGGATATGGGTCTGATACCTATCTTGCACACCAGCTCTACGTACTGTCCATTTGATGACCTCCCAGGCCATCGTATTCTCCTGGTTTCCTATTAACTCCCTGGTGTCTCCTTCTCAGTGTCCTTTGATGGCTCCTTCTCTTCTTCCCGATCACCTTGAAGTGTCTCAGGGCTCAGTCCTTGTTCCTTTTCTCTTCACACAGTCCCTCTGAAATCTCATCCTCTCTTGTAACTTTTAATATTGCCCATATGACAACAACCACCAGACTTAGTATCTCTACCAAACATCTTTTCCAAAACACTTATCCACTATCTCCATTGGATATCAACTCAATATCTCTAATTCAACAAATGCAAAACAAAATTCCTGATCTCCCCATCAAAACCTGCTCCCCTCAGTTTTCTTCATCTGGGTTTTTGACCACTGCATCTTTCTACATGCTCAGGCCAAAACTATCAGGACTCATTTTTGTCCCCTCTCTCTCTCACACCCGCACCCTGTTGATTCTACTTTTCTAAGCACATCCTGAAACCAACCACTTTGCACCACGTCCCACTGCTGCCACCCTGGTATCAGTCACCTTTATCTCTCACTTGGATTATTTTCAATAGCCCGCCCATCTGCTTAGACCCTTGACTAAATATAGTCTACTCTCAACTGGCAGAATAATCCTTTAAAAATAAAAGATAGGGGCGCCTGGGTGGCGCAGTCGGTTAAGCGTCCGACTTCAGCCAGGTCACGATCTCGTGGTCCGTGAGTTCGAGCCCCGCATCAGGCTCTGGGCTGATGGCTCAGAGCCTGGAGCCTGTTTCCGATTCTGTGTCTCCCTCTCTCTCTGCTCCTCCCCCGTTCATGCTCTGTCTCTCTCTGTCCCAAAAATAAATAAACGTTGAAAAAAAAAAATTAAAAAAAAAACTTTGAAGGCCAATTGAGATTGCTGGGGAGAGGCCAAAGGGCATTTCAAAAGTGGAGAGACATGCCTAATGTTTAAGTGGGTGCAATTTGTGTTGCTGTAACCAACTTCCCTCCATTTCTGCCTTCAATTCTGAGCCACATTTATGGGTGGTTTGTGTATGTGGATTTCCGTCCCCCACCCCCACTTACTAAACTAAAAGAAAGGGTTCGATTGTATGTCTGGGTCAGCTTGTTATGGATGAGGGTTAATAATCAGAAACCTACAGGCTGTGAGTGGTCACTTAGCAAATGTTTACCGAGTTCCAACTATGTGCCAGGCATTGCTGTTGGCCCCTGAGATCTATTACTGAATACAAAAGCAATGATTCTTGCCTTACATTTTATTTTTTAGAGTTTATTTTATTTTATTTTTTAAAGTTTACTTATTTTTGAGAGAGAGAGTGAGCACACACAGGAGGGGCAGAGAGAGAGAGAGAGAGAGAAGGAGAGAGAGAGAATCCCAAGTAGGCTCCACTTGCAGGTCTTCAACTAAGGAACCGTGAGATCAGGACCTGAGCAGAAATCATAAATCGGATGCTTAACTGACTTAG